TGTTTCTCCCTCTCCTCTGGCCTCCTGAGACTTGCAACTAGGGGAGCAGTGGGCAGCAGAAGCTCAACCCGGGCTAGCCCCCTACCCCTGTCTCTGTGGGGTTCAGAGAGAGGATTCTAATCCTCCTCCATCTCTCCAGACTCTGCGGACAGACTCCTCCTCACCATCTTTACGGCCAGCAAGTGCTATAAGAAAACTTGTTCTTTCTCTAGAACAATTTGTAAATTATACCCTCATAAGCAATATTGAAACATTTGTATTTTTCTCCCTACCTAATCCCTCCAGAATTCAGCAACTCTTAATGAAGTCATGCCTGAACTCTGGCTGTCACCAGAAAGCCTGAAGGAATTAAAATTGACTTTAATTTTAAAGTCAATTGGAGCCCCATGCAGAACAGCCTGGTACCTTGCTCAGACACATGGTTCATGGCAGTCTTTCCAGGACTGGAAATTACTGGAAGCAAGAACAGAACTAACTGGAAATTACTGGAAGCAAGAACAGAACTAACAGCTCCTTACAGCCACAGACAGAAGATAACGCAGGACCGACCCCACAGCCTCCTGTTACAACGCCCCACCTGCCCAGGGGCCACACAACAGCAACCCCAACCCTTTTTTAATCCAATTATAATCCAATAAAAGCTTAAATTCCCACCCCTCAATGGTGGTGTGTCTCTCCACAGCATGCCGCTGTCCTTTCTGGAAGAGTGAATAAAAACTTTATTCTCTACCAAATAAATAAATTTAAAAAATTAAAAAAAGGAAAAAGCTAACTTATTTTAATAAAGTTAGACATTCCAAAGATTACCTTGTACGATAAACATTTACAATAAAAACAAAAGTTTTAAGAGCCACATTATTAAAATGAAAAACAGAAACATTTTATCTAGCACCACATTAAGCTTGGTCAGGTTTTATTTCAAATGAACAATAAGAGTAGTTAGTAGTTTCCTCATGTAGCTGCTTCTAAATAATCTGAATGATGATTACATGCTGGGTTCTATCAGCTTTAAATGGATTTGCTCATTTAACTTCCATAATGACCTTTTGAGATGAATATAATAATTATCTCACTTTTATTAATAAGGAAGGAAACTGAGGTGCAAGGTTAAGGAACTTGCTCAATGACACATACAGCTGCTATACTGAATCCATTTAGTTTGATTCTAGCGCCACTTAGCTGCTTTGAACTACTATGTTCTGCTACCCATGTAAACTGTAAATTCCCATTCATTCACTAATATAATAAATATCACAGTGTTTTTATAATTTAAATCGTATCATGTCATGCCTATACTTGAAATCCTTCAATGGCTTCTTCTGTGCTCAGCAGGCATGGTTCACTAGATAGCTCCAGTTCCTTGCTTCCCATCTAGTGCGGTCTCCAGAGCACTCCGCTCCCATTACAAGGAGGGCTCCTCCCAACTCAAAGCCTTGGAGCATCTGCAGCTTCTGTTTGGAAGGTCTGTGTACTTACTCCCCACCATAAAGGGCTAAATACTCTTCATGGTTCAGATATTATCTAAAATGCCATGCTCTCAGGCTTTTTACCTGCCTTAAACACAGTCTACTCTTTCTCCCCTGCTAGTATGGCTCAGTGGATTGAACGCCAGCCTGCAAAACAAAGGGTTGCCGGTTTGATTCCCAGCCGAGGCACACACCAGGGGTTGCAGGCCAGGTCCACAGTAGGGGGTGTGTGAGAGACAACCATACACTGATGTTTCTCTCCTTCTATTTCTCCCTACCTTCCCGTCTCTCTAAAAATAAATAAATAAAATCTTTACCAAGAAGAAATCCACACAGTCTACTCTTTATATAGAAGCTACTTCCTTTTAAAAGGAAATTCAAAATGACTGCTCCTCAATTTCCAATGGCTTTCTATGACATCTAGATTAAAATCCGAAATCCTTACCATAGTCTATAATGCTCCGGATACATCTTTGAATTCTCTATCTCCAATCTTTCTATATTCTAGCCATATTGGCTTCCTTGCAGTTCTAAGACCACATTAAGTATGTTGCTATATCTGGGATATTACATGGCTGTTCCTTCTACTGGAAATGCTGTCTCCCTAGAAATCTCCAAGGCTTACTCCCTTACTTCTTAGGTTTCTACTTAAATGCCACTTTTTTCAGATAGAACATCCCTGCGCACCCTAGGTAAAGCAGAATGTCAAGTAATTTTCTGTATCTTCATTCTGCCTCATTTTCATTAAAGCACTTAATACCACCCACTAATATATTGCATATATATTTGTTTCCTGTCATTTCTAGCTCACAAAAAGGCAAGCTCCATGAGGACTGAGAGTTTGGATTTGATAACTACCATATTTCTCAACACCTAGAATAAAGGCTGACACACATTAAAAACATAAGAATACTTGTCAAATGTTAAGTGAACATTAAATTCTTGTAACAATATAAAACCGATTATTCTTTAAGAGATGTTATGAACAGCACAGGAAAAGCTATTATTATAATATAAAGAGACAAAATGTCTTATAAAGAGTTTACAACACAGGGGGAAAAAATGATAAACAAGGGGTCAATATCCAAAATTTATAAAGAACTTACAAAACTCAACACCCAAAAAACAAACAACCCAATTAAAAAATGGACAAATGACCTGAAGAGACACTTATCCAAAGAGGACATACAGATGGCCAGTAGACATATGAAAAGATGCTCAACTTCACTAATCGTCAGAGAAATGCAACTTAAAACCACAAGGAGATATCTCACACCAGTCAGGATGGCTATTATCAACAAATCAACAAACAACAAGTGAGAGGAGGATGTGGAGAAAGGGGAACCTTTTTGCACTGTTGGTGGGAATGCAGATTGGTGCAGCCACTGTGGAAAGCAGTATGGAGATATCTCAAAAAATTAAAAATGGATCTGCCTTTTGACCCAGCCATCCACTTCTGGGGATATATCTGAAGGAACCTAAAACACTGATTCAGAAGAATATAAGCACCCCTATGTTCACTGCAGCATTATTTACAATCGCCAAGATAGGGAAGCAGCCCAAGTGTCCATCACTAAACAACAGTGCCCATCAATAAACATCAATGGGACATTTATACAATGGAATACTTCTTCACCATAAAAAAGAAGAAAATTTTACCCTTTGCGACACTATAGATGGACATGGAGAACGTTATGCTAAGTGAAATAAGTCAGCCAAAGGAAGACAAATACCATATGATTTCACTCATAGGTAGAATCTAATGAACAAAATGAACTAACAAGCAAAACAGAAACAGACTCATAGATGGCAGGCCCAAAGACAGCTGGCAGAGGGTGGGCGGGTGATGGTTAGGGGGTAACGGAAATGAGCAAAAAGGACAAAGTACTCGTGGGCACGGACAACAGTGTGGTGACTGCTGTGAGGGGGCGGTATAAGGGGACTGAATGGTAATGGAAAAGAAAAATAAGATTAAATTTTAAAAAATGGTAAGTAAACCAATGAATGGATATAGTAGTTGCCTCTAAAAATCAATCAAGATTACTAGAAATTTTCAGTTTCTTTTTTTAATCTATCTTAATTTTGAAATTATAATTCAATGGTTAATGTATACTTTTATAATTAGAAAAAGTTATACCTTAAGAGTTAGGCCTGATCAAAAAAAAGCTCAGTACTTAAAAAAAAATAAATAAAACCAAAGCAAACTCTGGCCCAGAAAAAGTTTGTGCCATAAAAGAATTAAAGGTTATTTTTCAATATAAACTGAAGGTTTCCAATTACTAGTATAAACAGATTGCATCATCCAAACTGGGTCCATTTTAAGAGTTCAAGGAGGTTCAAAAAGTTATTAATAGGTGTTTAGTTGATCTACAATAGCTGTAACTGAGACTTGTTTTCAGTAGACCAGGAAAAATAATCATCTTACCCGTTTCCTGCATGATAAAGTCTAACTCTTTAGGACAACCTTAGATCATCAAACTTCACCTATCTCATCCCTACTTCTACAAAACCCAAACACATGTCACACTGGCCATTCTATTAACCATGACTCTGAATCTTCACTTCCTGGAAGGACTTTTCTTCCCTTCTTTGCCTTGGGTTCTATACCTTCCAGCTTAGAGTCGATTCCACAATAAAGCAACCTCTTCCTTCACCATATACTAGCACGTTCTTATCTCTAATCAAAGGTTCTTAACCTGGGGCCTATAAATGACCTGATGGACATCTGTGAAATTCTGAAATTATATATAAACACTGAATATATGCTCCTTTTTAAGGAGAAAGCATTGTGACTGTTCAAATTCTATAAATAATTCATAATCCAAAAGGGTAAGAATCATTGCTTTATCACACAACCTTAATTACAATTATTATTTACTCATCTCCCTCTTACACTATGAGTTTCTATAAAGCACCCTGTCATATTCCTAGGAATAAACAGTATGATGAGCTATAATATTAAAAAGGTATGTCTGTCTCCCCAATTCTCCCAGGCTCATTTCATTGTAAGAGAGCTGATACCTGCTTCTAATTTAGTACATTCATCCTCTAACTTTTAAGTCCTTTAAGTCCCTAATGTTTATGAATCTGAATCAATTATTTCACATAAAAAATTAAATCTCCTCCCATTAAAACCAGTGTTTTATTTTCCAAACTTTCTGCATTTTTACATGTAATTGGAAAGAGAAAAAGTAAATTTAAAAAATTTTAAGTTAAAATTTTAAAGAAAAGATATCCAAGAAGAAAATCTGAACTCACAATACATGGCTGAAGGCAATTATTTATGAAAGGAAAAAAAGAAGATAGGTGTATGAGCCAATCTATTTTAACATGTTTGTTTCATCACTACTTCTCAAATTAAGATGATGGGAAAAAGGCCTATTCACATTATATTACATACATCTAATTCTATTTGGGATTTTATTGAACCTTTTGCCAAAAAAATCTATCACATGCCTATCAAACATTGCCTGTAGTTTCAAAGGCTCATGTGGGAAAAGATGCAAATCTGACAAACAACCATGAGGTACTCACCGTGCTGTACACCGCCGAGACAGTAGGAGTGAAGATTCGATCCTCGAGAGGCTGCTGCACAGGTCCTCTAGGAATTCTAGAAGAGCAGGTTAAGGATAAGAGAGCTCAAAAATTGGACTGCTTTAGCAGTAAGAGAAAATTACCACCACAAAATTTTGTTAGTGACCCAAGCTTTGTCACCCAATTAGTGGGGGTTATATACTTAATTCTCCACGGGAACTGGAAAAAACAAAGTATTTCAAATTTCCTACTGTGATCAGATCAATCTCTCCAAAAGTGAGTCCCATGATAAATATTCATTCCATGGAAACTCCAAACAAACAAAATTACACAACAAGCCTCCAAAGTTTAAGCCTATGATGAAAATCTACCACCTTTACTCTCTGGATAAAGAGAATAAGGAAATATAAACAGGATATTCAGGAAAATTAAGACTAATTCATCAACCTGGAAATTGCTGACAAAGGCCCAGTCTGTTTTGCTAACTATACAGGAAGAGAAAATATAACTGTTTCCGGTTTTTCTCTCTTAGTTGTTAGTTTCCCTCATATCCACCCACCAACCCATTTTTAAAATGATGCTCTCCAGCATAACTTAAGTTTAAAATTTTTCAGCATGTTGTCAAGACATTATGTTAAAAGACAGAAGACTATTATTTTATTCAGTTCAAAAATCGAAAGATGTAACAAGTTCTTCTACCTGGTAAGGTGATAGTTTCACCTCACAATACATGGCCAAGGAATGACAACCAAAAGACTGGCACCAAAAACTGGACAGCAATTATCTCCACATGGTAGGATTACCTGTGTTATGTGCCTTTTCTACAGTATTTGCATAATTTCAACATATTTTTAAAAGAATGACTATAAATGTAGTAAACCCAAAATGAGAAAGAATCCTTCTTTCATCGTAACAATTATTTAATACTTCTCACATTATGTTCCTTTCTAATTCAATAAAAGTTTCAAAGAGTGACAGCTGCAAATAATAATTTTATATGTATGACCGTAAGTTGCAGAAGTCTGAAAGAATCGTTAGAAGTGAAATTCTTCATATCTAGGTAGAAATAATTTACTGAGGTGAGAGAAAAACAAAAAACAAAAAACAAACCAAAAAAAAACCCTATGCTTTAGTCATTCAAAATTAGTAACACTGTACCAGTCTCTAGATAGCTCCTCAAACTAGCCACCTCAGACAGTAAATAGTTCACTGTGTGGCCATCATCCCCTATGCATGAAGAACTGGTTTAAAATGCTACATTGAGAAATAAAGCTAAAACATGTCATTTAAAAAATGCTTCACCTAAAATTAAATAAATAAATAAATAAATAAATAAATAAATAAATAAATAAATAAATATGCGCAATGTAGAAACATAAGCCTAACAAGTTTCAGGACAAAAGTCTTCATATAAACTTGTCAATTCTTTCAGAAATCAGATTACCACTGGCTGAAATAAAACTTTCTTTGAATTATAGTTCTGCATTGTGGTCACATGAATAGTGAAAGATATGAGGCCATTCTTTCTTTTACAAAGCCAACTGCTGTTGCTTTTTCTAGCTAAGGCTAATTCTCACTATGTGAAAATAGGTTCTCAAATTAGTTGTCGGTACCATGCCCCATAAACTGAGCCATACCACATACCACATAGGTTAGGGCCCCTGCGGTGTCTATTAGTTACTACTGGCTAACAACATTACTATAACTCCAAGATTTCTAAAAAGACAATTGTATGTTTGGCCAACATTCCAGTTAACAAACATTCTCTCTGACCACAGACATAGAATGTTGATTTCATTTATTTCACTCTCTGTAAACTACCAATAGAATATTGTGGGGATTGCTAAATGAAGTGTTTTGTAAAAGAACATCTAGATAAAGAATAATTATTTTAAACTAAAACGCAGTCCTATAAAAAGACAACTAAAAATAAAAGTTAGAAGATCTGAATCCAAGTGTGCTACATGCATAACCAATCAGGTTGTCTTCACTGAACAGTTTTGTAGTACTCCAGTACACTGAGGCTCAGAAAGATAAAGAAACTTACCCAAGTTAACAAGGCAAAGTAGGCAGGCCAGGTCTCTGTATTCCAAAGACCGCTGCTCTTCCTATTACATCAGTGTGTGCAAGGGTAGAATACTTTATAGCATATGTATAAAAACAGTACCACAGCCTAGTCAAAATATGGTTGCCTCTATCTATGGGACAGAACTAAATTAGCATTTCACCTCATAAAAGATTCAATAGAGTGTCACTTTAAAACCAAAAATTCCCAAATTCTTGGCCCAGGTTGAGTCATTTTCCCAATGGCAAACGAATGCTCACTATTACAGATAGGGCAGTTAAAGCAAGAAACCAAGGAAGCTTATTTTATGGAGCAATTTTCTCTTAATACTTAGTGGTTATGGTTGCACATCTTCATAAATATGCTAATAAAACACTAAATTGTACAACTGAATAGTGTAAATTATATGGTATGTGAATTATATATCATTTTTAAAATAATATAATTTTAGTAATCTGCACCTATGTTGGTTATTACCCTTTCCACTTAAAAAAAAAGAAAGAAAAAAGCCCAGATAAGAAAGTATTAGGCTCGGTGCTGCTAGGTGTTTTCTCCAAAAACAAGTAAGTTCAAAGAAATGACATGCACAAAAAGCTCTAAACACTACAGCATACTTCCTCCTAATTCTACCAACCATTAAGCTTATTACCAGTTCTCACCAAGCTCTGTATCTCCAGCAAATGTCATTTGATGCTTATTTCTCTCTGAGCTCAGAGTAACAAGCAAATTGTTTCTCATAGCATCACTTAAAATTCTAATTCAATCGATCAGCAGTATAATATGAATGTGCAGGACTCCAGAACACATTTTTATTTTTTAAATCTCATGGCTGAAATTCTGTAGCACACCCACTTGACACTTTTATAGTTCAAATTGCTAATTTACATCATTAGGAAAAATAAGCAAAATCATTAGCATGATTAGACGATGGTATGTAATTCTACACATTCTTTTTCTAATAAAATATTAACAAATTTCAAAATCAAAGTTGGAAGGTTAAAGAGAATTAAAGCACAATAGACTCTAAATTGATTATGTTTTTAAAGATTTCATTTATTTTTAGAGAGAAGGGAAGGGAGAAAGAGAGGAAGAGAAGCATCAATGTGAGAAAGAAACACTGACTGGCTGTCTTTCACACATTTCCTCACCTCAACCAGGACCAAACCCACAACCCAGGCAGGTGCCCTGACTGGGAACTGAACCAGCGGCCTTTTGCTTTGTGAAACAACACCCAACCGAATTACACCAGTCAGGGCTTTAAATTGATTATTAAAGTACTCACTACATGCTCACCACATTAAGTGTCAATTTAGCAGATAAAAAAATTTCAGCAAACAAATTTCATCAGAAAAATCCAGGATAAGATCTATGAAAAGATTACATAATGATCTGAATGTTTCCTATTTATACCATGAAGGTAAGAAGCGATTTATAATTCTTTTAAGCACAGATGTTTACTGAAATTTCATGACCTATGAACTCTCCTCAGGAGAGTTTTGGATCAGTGACAATCATAACTGAACTTGGATTTTACTCATAGTCAGTATCTCCTCAAAAGGTAGATTTTGACAAGTTAGAAAGCAAGTAGTGAGAGTCGAGAGAAATCTTCCTCCAGTTTGCTGAAACACTAATGTTCTATTTACAACTCCCAGCTGAATGTTCCTGAACTTTGCCCTGCTCCACTACAAGAAATGCTACTATCTCAATGCTCAGCATAAGCAATATCTTAAAGTGGTAGCCTCAAGTTATCACTGCCTCACTAAAAGGAAAAGTGAAAGTACAAACCCACTGCACAAATGCTGCTTTAGAGAAGACACAGTTAACTGATTTCAGGAGATGACAACAAATGAATACAAAAGATCTTTTTCTGCATTATGTCTTAATTAACCTTTAGAACAATACAGTAATGTCAATTTATGCCTTTTCCACTTTCTCCTTTCTACACAGTTTTTGATAATGAGAAAGGAAGATAAATTGTATAGCTTAAGAATAACAGCAAAATTTCAAAACTATATTCTATTTCACAAAGATACTATACATGATTCCTCAAAAGAAGCACTATTTAAAATACAGAGGATCTGGAAATAGCTATATTCCCTGTGATACTAATTCTGACCCATAAGGAATAAGTCTATAAAAATTAACTCCAAACAGATCAAAGACCTGAATGTAAAGGATAAAACTATAAATTTTTAGAAGTAAACAGGATAAATCTGCATAACCTCTTATTTGGCAATAGGCTGTTAGATAAGACACCAAAAGCAAGAGCAACAACAAAGAAAGATAAACTGCACTTTAACGAAGTTAAAAACTTTTGTGCATCAAAAGTTACCATCAAGAAAGTGAAAAGACAACCCACAGAATGGGGAAAAATATTTGCAAATCATATGTATGATAAGGGACTTATATCCAGAATACATACAGACCCCTTATAACTAAATAATAAAAACACAACCAACCTATTTTTTAAACGGACAAAAAATCTGAATAGACATTTCTCCAAAGAAAGTATACAAGTGTCCTAAAAGCACATGAAAAGATACTCAATATAATTACTTACCAAACAATGCAAATCAAACCCACAATGAAATATCACTTCACATCTACTAGGATTGCTAGAACCAAAAAGCCAGTTCTGATGAGAATGTAGAGAAACTGGAACCCTCATATACTGCAAGGGGGAATGTGAAATAGTAGAGCCTGTCTAAATACAGCCTGACAGTCCCTCAAAAGTTTACACATGGAGTTACTGTATGATCTACCAATTTCACTCTCAGGTTTGTAACCAAGAGAAATGAAAACATATGTCCTTGCAAAAACTTACACATGAATATTTATGTGTAATAAATAATTTATTTATTTATATATATGCAACATTATTTAAAATAACCAAAAGGTGAAAACAATCCAACTGTCAAATCAGCCGATGAATGAAAGCATGTAAAATGTGGTATACTGATACAATTAAATTTCATTTCACACAAAAAAAGAAAGGTGTGGCTCAGTGGACT